TTCAAATGGACAGACAGCTGTAAGTGGCCTTATTATTCTCTTACTCACTTTTTAAAAAATATTAATATAATTTGTGCATGTTTAAGGCTGTTTGAATTTGCCGCATATATAAAGCCTGCCTGTCGTAAGCTGCCTGCTACAATATGTTCATAAAGACTGTCATTTACTTACAGGTGGAGCATTTATGTTAGCACGCTGTTGCTGCTTCTTGCCCAATGTGTGATGCCAAGATTATCAGAGTAGTTGCCTTGTGGAAAATATCTCCAAGTGCAATCTGTTGAAGCCTTATTTGAATGAGCTCATAAGTTTCGACATTTAAAATATGTTTCACAGAATACTTACATGCTGGAAAGACAAGGTGCTGCAAGTAAATAAATGTTACCAAGAAACTACCTTAAACCTGGTCATATCTTTGAAAATACCACTGCTGAGAAAAACAGCAAAATATTATTATCAGGTAAGTTTGCGTTTATTCATTCATAACAGAAATAATAAACCAATTATATTGAATACTATTTTTTCTATGAATGAAGTGCAAATGCGCCCAGCAAAAGAGCATATATGTAAAATAAATTGCATACTTTCGGGAGTGTACATTAAAAAATTCCTCCTATTTGGCTACCAGAAGTACACAAAGACCTGGATGTCTCGGCAACTGGGAGGCTTCTGATTACCGTTGGCCAGTTGATAGTCAAAATTACAAATGGTTTGACATGGGGTTTGCCAAGATTTGAGTGAGCCATAAGTAGACAAACGTAATTTGATATTGATATTTTTCATGTTCCGTTCAAAATGATCGATCTGCCTTTAAGAATCAGACGTTTGGAAATTTCATTCAACCTAATCAGAATCGGGTGGCTCTCTATTTCGTTAAATACATAGCATATCAAGCAGCTTTTGTGTGCCGACTCTAAGGCAAGCAGTGTGTGGAGCTATTCGTCAAGTGAGGAGCGATCAATGCAGTTCCATTATGAGCTACAGCCCGAGGGTATGCTACAGTTGTATTAAGCATTCCCTAATGCGCACAGGTAATAAAAATGGATGACGGAAACTTAACTTTAAAGTATTGCATACTTTTACGTGCCAGTTGCAATTTGTAGTTTCTAATGTGAAATATTTACCTTAATAATTGGATTTAATAAAAATATGATAAAATTTCCTTTTATGGAATGCAGAATCTTTTTATTCACTTCAAAATATTAGTTGTAGCCAGGATTATGTAGTATAAGTTAGCATAAGTACGCATTATTTACAAAAGCAATTCGCTCCCAGATCCCCATATTATGTAGTCGCATTAACATTAGCGTCCAAATCGCATATGGCCGTAGTCGTCAAACTGGTCATCGCCGCCCCGTTTCCCAAATCTCATGTGACCGTAGTCATCGAATCGCTTTGGGCGCTCGGCCTCTTCGTTGGTCACCAGCAGTTCCAACTCGATGGGATACTTCGAGCGAGTAACGGGAAAGTACTTGGACCCAAAGCCTACGGATCTTTGATTCCGTCTGTTGCTGCTGCTGCTGAAGCGTGTCAGGATTGGGCCTTCTCTATTGCTATTGAGTGCACCACTATCCTCTAGCTTGGGTTCCATGTCGCGCAGTTGCAGTTCCTCCTTAACGGAGTCCATGCCCTCCGCTTGCGATGGTGCCGGAACAGTGAGAAGCAAGTAAGCCGTAAGCACAGCCAGCGTTAGAGCGCTTGAATACCATTTGGGGCTCCAGTTGGGCAACATCTTTACAGTTGTTCAACTGTCGAACGAATACCAAAACTTGGCCAGGTGCCTTAGCTTTTATAGTATGCACTCCTTGGCATCCTTTGACTTATTTACGCAGAACTCAATATTTTTTCACGTTTTAATATTCCGCGGCTATTCTCAAGGCCTTAAGCGAAGCAGGAAAAATAATTTGACAGCTGATTGACGTGATTGAATCGGCAGAACAAAACCCACACAGCCTCAGAAATAATTAAATTTAAACAAGTTGGGTGGCTCAAGATGAGAGTGAAGCACAATATTGTTGTTGTTGTTGTTGTTGAGTTTCTAGAGAAGCTGAGATCGCACTCAGACGGAGGTACATGGCGAATTAGTTGTAGTAGATGCAGTTCAGTTATTGGTATTCATGAAGCTAAGAAATTCATTCTAAACGCAGGCTATAAATATAACTGAGCCAATTATTTTTGACGTAAATATTACAAATATTTAACATTCTCTTCTTAACAAGGCTGCAAACCAAATTTGAAACGCAAACGTTTTGTATTCAACTGGAAATTGGACCTTGAACTGAGGCAGCTGCTCAAATAACAGAAATAACTAAATGATTTGGCCTTTAAATCAGCATAAATGAAAATTGTAATAGAATTTACCTCACTTCATTTGTCAAATAACAGCGAATTAAAAAGTAACTCCCATTTCAAACTCTGAGCCGCACTCAAAAGTGACCCGAACAGATCAATTACAAAGTTGTTGAAGGCGTCCGATTTAATAACGAAGACACGACTTTTCGCCCTTTTTAAGTGAGTTCATTGATGACAGGTTTAATTAAATGTGTGCCGCCGTCTGAGGCTCCACAGCAACGGCCATGCTGCATTGGTGGGCAGCCAGGCAAGCCCAAGTTGAGCAAGTTGGTCGCCGGAGACTTGCGTTGCGTGTCAAGTGCCGACTCCCTCCTATTGACCGCATTGAGCCGTTTTGCTGTGTCTATGTGGTTGTGTACAAAGAATTCCATTTGCTGACCGGATTGTCCGCATTCCAAAGATTCAATCGAATAGTAGACACACACACACACACATGTATGCACACACACACACACACACAAACACACACACTCATAGTCAGTGGTACATAAAAGACCAAATTAACAGCTATAGAGAAAAGTATCTACGAGTTTATCAATAAACAAACCGCAATCCAAAGCCGCAGTCGCAGCCCAATGCAACGGTCTGAAGACTTGGACACAACACACACACACTCAGCCACTCACACACTCTCAATTTGTCAATACTCCACAACCAGTCTCGGAGAGTCCAAGTCGCAACCACTGTGCGAAAAACACACACAAACTGTGAGCACAACAAAAGCCTATGCCAAGAGACAAGCATTAGAAACAAGTCAAAATCCACAACACTTTTCTGTGGGCCGTAGCCGGCACATTTCTGTCCATGGGCATGGAGAGCTCTTTGCCGTCTTGGACACCACTATCAGTGGTGGTGCTCTGTGGTGCTCTGTGGTGCCGTGTGGTGACGGCAACGGCGACTTCTTGCTGCTTGCAGGTGTTTCGAGGTCTCGATTGCTGCTCACGCAATTCAACAGAGCGGTTCTTCGGATCGGGCTGAAACGCTTTAAGAGCCGTTTCATGGCTTTGTCACATGAATATATGCATAATAATAGGTTCTTTGTATAAGCAATCTGTTTATGTAATATCTAAACATGCTTGAAAGAATGGCTTAAAATTATTCGATTTGAATACTAATTAAATATTAAAAGATTATACACATAGTTTGGCTGCTATCGGAATAAAAAGCTGAGCAGCTCTTCCAAAGTTCTTTCGCTTTAACCATATCACAGTTGCTTTTTGTACTCTCCGATTTTCTAGTCAAGCTTTGATGTGTCTTGTACGTGAGATAGGTGGAAATTATTTATCCGCTTGATAATACTTAATAATAAAACGAGTTAACTTTGAATTAATAGCTAGTTGTGATGATTTTTTTTTAGTGCGCTTAGTAAGAAACTGGAGCAACAATTTCCACTTTGCTGCGATTAAGTCGAATGTCACTCTAATGTTTAAAATGCATTTGTAGCTAAAAGTTAATGGCAAATATTTGCAATGCAGATTCGAAAATAATTGCAATTCCAAGCTCAGTTCTCAGTTTGAAACGCAATTTAAGGTTGGCCAAGCCATTCATTTGGGTCAACGTGATTGCGCCCAATGCCTTTTAGCCCTCGGCTGGGTCAGCCGTAATCGGCTAGACCAGCTAGTTAGTTATAGGTACTTAAAAGAGACAAGTTGCGGCGTGGCGTGGCGTGGCGTGTGTTCAGTTCAATTTGCCTGCTTGACCAGCTGCCCAAGTCGGCGTTGGTATTCGAGTAAAACTGGAAATGGAAAACATTTTCTTGCCGCATTTTCTTGTTGCATAAATGTGGAATATCCATAAAGCCAGCGCTGGCTGTGCCGCTGACACACACAGCGAGTGCCGCCAGCACAAGATGCTACAAGAGGGATATGCCTGTCCTCGTCACAGACGACCACATCAGGCCATGCCAGGCCAGGCCAGGCCAGGCCAGACCAGGCCAGTACGCGATTTTAATTGAAAATCTCTTACGCAATGCTTAAGCAGCGGTCCCCGGATCCCAGCTTGCAGCTCCCAGCCCGAGCACTAAGAGGCATAACTCCTGGGCCACGGCAAACTGGAACTGCCAATTTTGATTTATACGTTAAGCGGCTGGCAAAATATACGTTTCGCGCCTGCCGGCAATTAGGTAATACGCACATAAAGGTAAATGGCTATAGGTGCAGGTAATAGGTACAAACCCAGCCTGCAATTATTGTGGCCAAAAAAAAAAAATATAAAAAATAAAACGAGGACACTGATGTAACTCGCTTTTGACTTTTGTGTAGTTATAAACTGCTTAAAAATTAACCTGTTCACCTGAGACGATGCATCGGTATCTGTATCTGTATTTGTATCTTTTAATATACAGCTCACACATGTTGCCCCCATAAGAAGTGGAAGTTAAAGTTGAGCTTGAATTGCGATGATCTTTGCTTTCGGCATTATAAATAAGTAGCGTCGAGCCAAAAACTGGAAGTGAAATCGGAATTGGAATCGCTCGCGACCAACGTCGCCGTCGTCGTCGTCATCTCTCGCCAGTTAGCTTTCAGCTCTGCCGAAATTCTCGACAGTCTCTCGACGATTTCATCACTCAAAATTCGAATATGCACATAAAATATGTTCGTTGCAACTTTCGCTTGTTTATTTATTTTATTTTTTGTTAACTTAGTAGCTTGCTAACAAATATCTGAACTATTTGTGTTTGAAAATGCCAGAGAGCAACCTTCGCGGCCCTCGCACGCCTCTGACATTCGCATGCAAATCAGCAGCCAGCGACAGTCAAAACATGCAAGGAATTCGCATGCAAATTCATTTATGAAGCCCACGACAGCCCATATGCTGAGCTAGAGTCTAGGCATAGATCGCGATCGTAGATCCACATAACCTCAGGTAATATTCTGTTGGGTGTCCCAAGCCAATGCATACACTGTGATAAAATTGCAGCATACAGATAAATATTTGATTTAATTATGATCAATTTTAAAATATATACGAACTGACAGAAATTACAATTAATTAACTGAAAGTTCCATCTATTTGACTTTTATGGGAGAATAAATATTTATGATTTTGATAAAATGATCAAGTGCAAAATATTCAAAACTCAGATGAAGACTTCAGTTTAAGTATGCATTTTTAATCTGCTAATGAATTTTATGATATTTTTTATCATTAATAAATTAATAATTTATTTTATTAAAATTTATTAAGGTCTTCTAAGCAAAGTTCAAGTTTTAATCCGTACTTGACTTTCAATCTTCACTTTACCGAAATATTAAAAGATATTAAAAAGTTGTAACTATTGAAATTTCATTTGAATCGTATTTAAGTTTAAGATTTATAAATTGTTTTTTTTTTCCAGCGTGTATCGGCTGTCAGTCGGCTCCACTCGCAACGCGTTGTTGCCCCTTCAACACCACCCGCTATGCCAATCAGTTACATGCTGACTGACGTACAGGGTATACAGGGTATGTATGTAAATGCCGTGTATTTATTCATGTTGTGCCCGCGCATGCTAATTGACTTGAAGGTGTGCTTAGGCCTACACACGAAACCCGCAGCACAAACGGTCGTCAGATTTTATAAAAATAGATCTTGGCTTTTAGGAGAGACCATTTTGCAAAACACTTTTGTGAGAGTCCCAGGCAAAAACATTTCGTTAACATTTTATTATATTTATTGTACATATTTTTGAAATTATGTTTACACACACATGTGCATATCTAATACATCTGCGCCTTAAGATGCTAATATGGACAGAATGAAAGATATGTATTGTAGGTATGTTTTTTATGTCTACTCGTAAGTGCTTTTTGCTAGCTCTTCTTTAACACTCTATTCATTCGAAAAGATATTTTACATTTGTGCTCGAAAATAAAAACAAGGGAACAACTTGTTTGCCGCATTTGATTTACACGTTGTCAAGTGTTGTTGTGTATTATATTATTCTACATTATTTATTATAGTCGATTATATGTTGTCTTTGCTTTTATCTGGTTATGGGCAAAGGAATTTTCATGTTTAATATATATACTTAAAGTATAAACCTAATAAGGCACACATATTCATTGTAGATAATTGATTTGATTTCGATAACGATATCGATATCGATAACGATTCCGATTCCGATTCGATATCAATTCCAATATTGGTTACCCAATGTGATTAAAGTCTGTCGCTGGAGCCCAGCTTGGTCGCTTTTAAATTTTATTATTGATTCGATTCCATTTCTAAATTGACCAGCATCGCTATAATGTTGTAATATTCTATATATGTATATATATATATATATGTATATATAGTTCTCCTAGTCCATATCGGGTGTACTCATTCAGATGACAGCATTCCTGGTGCGGAATAGCTTGGCTTAAGCTCAAATCGTTTGGCAACTTATCTGCGCGGCTTGCCGAAACTACTTGCGGGACCCAGTGGGCCATATATCGCATGCGGATGCTGGGGATGAGCATGTGGATGTGCTGGACCTGGTCCTCCGTTCGCCATGGCAGCCTGTTTGCGCTGCAGCGTGGCCGGACCCGGCGCCATTTGCCTGCGCTCGCCATCGTTGAGGTCCAGGCCAGCTACCATTTGGGCTATTTCGCGCTCCTTCTTCATGTCCGGAGGATTGAACTGTAGGCTGGCCAGTGAGCCGTGACTGCGACTGCGATGCTCCTGGCGTATTGAGTAGCTAAAGGCGCGCTCGTTGAGATGGCCCTTGCGCCGATAGATGCCTGTGCCGCCCGGTGATGGTGACTCGGCGCCCGAGTTGCCAGAGTCGTCCAGGCCGTTGCCCATGGACGCGGCCATTTTGCGGCTGGACATGCTCAGTGGACGCGGCTCGCCGATCATTGACTGTGCCATTGGTGGTGGCGGCACACCGCCCATTGCCTGCTGATAAGCGTAGATGGGCGGCACAATGGGCATGCCCACGGGCACGCCAACGCCGCCATTCTTCTTGTCCTTCTTCTTCTTTTTGCTGGTCGAGCGCGAGGGCTGCAGCGTCGCGTACTGCTGTGGCGGCATCATCATGGGTATCTGCAGCGGGGGCATGCCACCCAAATGCTGTGCATGATGCATTTGCATCATGTGGTGCTGATGCTGATGCTGATGCGAATGCGGATGCGGATGTGCGTGTGGTGGATGATGTGGATGTGAATGATGCGGCGGCGGACCGGGCGGAAAACCGCGATGACTAATTGTGTGATATTGGCGCGCGGCATGCGGCCCGGACACGGGGCCATAGATAACGCTGGCTGGTCCGGTACCCGGCCCTGGTCCGGCGTGCAATTGTGAGCGATGCAGCGCCGCCGCCGGGTGCATGGGCTTTGGTCTGATTAGTGTGCCCGACAAGCTCTGGCTGCCGCTTGACTTCGACGACTTCTTGTCGCGCTTCGTCTTGCGCTCCTCCTTAACAGGCGGCGGTGGCACGTCTATGGGCGCGCTTATCTGACGCGCTCGCAATGGCCTGCCCAGCGTGGAGCTGTTGCCGGTGAACAGCTCATAGGGGCTCTCTACGGCACCTATGCTGTCCAGCTGATCCTGTGAGCCGCTCCACACCTTGTGATTCTCATCTCCATTGTACACAGAGGCCTCGCCATCATCCACAGTGACGTTCAGGTCGGCACTGCTACCATAAACTGTAAGTACATAAAGAAATTCAATCGATCTTAGAAACTTGGAACCTTAGTCACGTCTTAAAACTAATTTCTCTCTCAAAATAAATCTTAACTTAAAGCCGAACCGTATTCGTTTTCTATGACTATTCGAAACTTTAAGTGTTCGGCTATTATACAATTCATGTGCATTTTGGTATGCTTCACTGTTTTGGCTGACTGATTGACTGACTGACTGATTGATTGACTGATTGATGTTGAACGAATCAAGTTAGCCCAAAAAATGCTTTCGCTAGGGGTGAACATTGTTGGTAAATGGTTGCATGCAACTTTTGGACTTGTCAAACTCATTTTCAAAGAATATTTTAAATTTTCATTACAGAATACTTTCACTTATTTGGTAAATCCATCAACCTGCGTGGAAATTATAAAATTTTAAATGAATGAAAACGTTGTCAATGTTCCAAATCAAGCGGAAAGTATGAGAATAATTGATTTTAGATTTAGGTGAAAATACTTTATACGTGCAAAGAAGCGAAATACCCGCCATTACTGTATAAAGCATTTACTTTATTTAATTATATAAGCAATACACTGGTAAACATATATATTAAAAGGGAAAAAAACAGCTTTCTGTTAAGAACAAGTAAAAACGTATAAGATATCATTCGATCGACTGATCTGAATGCAGGTCTTGGGTTTCAGTCGATAGCTGGTTGACCTTCGCGGCCAATGGATGCTGTCCACTAAACTATTAATGTTCGAAGGGAGGGTTGGTGGCGGGGTCATGGCTGCGGCGCAATACCATGGCCGCACTTGTCTCACATTACCGGTCATCGTTTTGGCTGTTGCCAAAGCGCTGATTCACGCGCCAAGTGCCAAGTGCCAAGTGCCAAGTGCCAAGCGGCAACAGGCGAGCGGCCCAGTGCCGGGCCAATGGCATTTACATTAACCAAAATGCTGGAAATTAGCCGAGCGCGTCTAAGCCAAAAATGTTTACAAAAAAATAAAAGGCAGAAGAAATATATGGGCCAAGACCGTCAAGAGTTGACGGCGGTCGCATTCAAATGAATCGATTGTGAGGCAATTGAATGCGTTTCGATGTGGCTTTGACGACTCTTAACTGTTCCCATCGCACGTACGCGTGTGTGTGTGTGACTTGGTCAGTTAGGCAATGCGAATGTGTCCAACAGATACAGATACAAATATACTAGCTACACACACACACGAGCATGTGCGAAGCCGTTACTATCAACGCCGTCGTCGCCGTCGCCTTTGTCGCCGCCGATGAAGGTTGGCGCGGTTCTGCAACGCATTTGGGCCATGGCAGCAATGGCAACGGTTTTGTAATAAATAACGGTAATTTAATAACTTTAGCGCGGCGGCTACACCTGCGGCTAACGTTGCGCCCCGCCACCCAGAGTTCCTGCCAGAAAAAAACCAGCCCAGACCCAGCCCCAGTCGCAGTCGCCGCCCAGTCCGGCAGACGACAACAAAGCGACGAGTCAGTTTATTTGTATACCCTTACTGAGAGTATTTTAATTTAGACACGAGCTTCGTAACGCTTAGGAGATGCCATCTCAAATAGATTCTCTATAGAATCAATGTGACCTCTAAGGTTCTTTAAATTGTTGAAAAATGTGGTAAAATTTAAATATAAATCAAAGCTCTCGGTACGTACTACAAAATTAACTTATTTAAATGATATATACACAATTTTAAAATAATATTTTCTATAAATTCTAAATGCATTTAACTGAAGTAATTAAAATCTGACCTTTGAAAGATGTTGCATTTTGAATTCGTGGAAGTCTCTAAATTCTAAATGTGCCATTTTGAGAATCTTCCAAGTACTATGATCGAGTTGGATGTTTCGGATAACTTTAGTACTTTTCTGTTCAGATCGTTCGGAAATAATATATTTGAATGAAAACCATTTGTACTTTTCAATATATACTTATACTTTCAATATATATATATATCGTACATCTGCAAGGGTATATAATCTTCGTCGTGCCGACGACAGCTGTTCTTTCTTGTTTTTCTTCTATTTTTTGTTTGTGTATCTCTTTTTATATCTTTGCTTCTTAGCCATGCCATAATTTGGTTTGGTTCCAATGTTTTTTTGCCATTCTGCTGGGGCTTTGCAGCTCTTTTGCTGCTTTGTGGCTTTGTCGCCGCTTCTAGCATGAGAAATGTGCGCTCGCTTTGGGGTCTATTGACCCCCGAGACGCGGCTAACGTACTCGACTGACTGCCGTTGAAAATGAGAGCGAACTCTTGGGCACATCTTGCCCTCTATATATATATATATACTTATATATGAATGTAAACTGATTGTTTGAGCGGCACAAGCTGCAAAACTTTTGGTGGGAAACGCTTCATTTCGGTTGTTTCTTAATTAGCGCGCTTTTCACATGGCCAAATGTCAAATGCATTACATATATAAATTAATGGCCAAAGAGCTGTCCGACCCATTTCGCCAGTTCTCACATAACTTCTAGGGCTGGCTCAGTTGCGTTTTATATATATTTATATATATATAGATCCATATCTTTGCAACTTTCATTTTTTCAAGCTCAGACCGATATTCGAAAGTGAGTTTAAGTGGTTTTGGCTTAACGTTGAAATTGTGTATAAAATTATGCGGGCAGCCGCGGCTGATATATATCATTTACCATACGATATATTGGTCAGATATGAAAAATAAGGATTTAAATTAAGATATTGCCCATATTCCAATTAAAACCGATCGTTAATATGGAAGCTATATGATATAGTAGCAACAAATCTCTGCCAACTGTGATCAAGTTTGTCTAGACAAATATATCGAAAGATCTATTAACTTTACAGGGTCGGATATGTCGAATATGGAGTGACATATGTACCAGGATACAACAACTTAAAATTTGTTTGGTAAAATATATTTAAGTTCATCAAATTACAAATATTTGCCCTCAAGAACTACCTAGTTAGTTATATTTACAAAGATTATGGCCATGGCGTATCTGTATCTCAAGCCGGTGAAA